AATATTATTATTATTATACATCTCATCCAACAGTTATACAACAATGCTGCAAGCCAAGTAATCCACAACGGGAAATTTACGGAAGCCTTCGAGTTGAGGACGAGAGTGAGGCGAGGCTGCCTACTATCGCCAATGATCTTCCTGATTGCAGTACATTGGATAATGCGACAGACAGAGGGCCGGGTAGCGACGAAACAGAAATAAAACGGACTCACACAAAAGGAGAACATCGAGGATCTGGACTTCGCCGATGATATATGTCTGATTTCCCACAAACTGGAATATATGCAAGTGAAAAGCAACAAGCTAGCGGTAGAAGATGCATCAAAGATAGGACTTCCTTCAGGTGAACATAGATAAAAATAGAGGTGATGAAGATTCCTGGCCAACATCAACAGCAACACAACAACAACAACAGACAACAATCAGCCAGCATAAATGGGAGGAACCTGAAGGAAACAACCTCCTTTACCTACCTACCTAGATGGGAAGCATCGTTTCAACTACGGCTGAACGGAACTGACGAGGATATCAAAGCCAGAATCGGAAAAGCAAGACAAGCTTTCATTACTCTTAAGTCTGTGTGCACGTCAACAGCTCTACTCATCATCAAAAATAACATCCGGATTTTCAACTCCAATGTGAAGTCAGTCAGTGCTACTTACTATACGGATCAGAGACTTGGCCAGTGCGTCATAAAGAGCATCTCAAACAAACTTCACACCTTCATTAACAGTTGTCTTCGCTCAATACCACTCAAGATCAGATGGCCAGCCAGAAAAAATCAGTAATAGGGATCTCTGGCAATGAGCTAACCAACGCAGCAGGAACCGATTGTGAAACAAATAGGCAGGAAGAAATGGAGGTGGATTGGCCGTACGCTGAGGAAACCATCAAGTGACATCACTAGACAAATCATCGCTCGAGTGGAATCCGAAAGGGAAGCGGCGAGTTGGTCGTGAGTGCATGGGTGGGTGACTTGGATGAGGTCATGTGAAGAGGAAATGAAAGCATGTGGGAAGACTTGGAGCGGGGTGAAAAAGTTGGCAGAAAACCGAAGGCAATGGAGACGCGCAGCTGAAGCCCTATGTTCCTCTAGGAATTAAAGGATATAATAATATTTTAGAAATAAAGTCGAAAACATCACTAATTCTATGTTGCACAATTTCTCTGTGCAAAGGACCCAGGATCTTAACTAACCACTTCGCTGTTCCGTGAAATGGGGAGTTATACATATCTAATACAGGGCGAAGAGGAAGACCTGGTTTGTGCACTTTTGGTAGACCGTAAAGACGTGGAGTATTGGTACCCGTAGGTTTCATGGACTCATACTTGGTTGATGATAATACTCGTATTTGGTTCAGTTTTTTGAGGGAGTCAGTCATTTGTTTCTCAGCTCTTACATTGAGGTCTTTGGAAACACCAAGCGATTGGAATTTAGTTTGATCACTCAAAATACCTTCCATTTTCTCAACATAATCGCTTTTGTCCAGTAAAACTATACCATCACCTTTATCCGGCTTGCTAATGATTAAACCTAGGTACCAAATTTAGTGATTATGCTTCTAAAGTTGATCAATTAGACACTGATATACAGTTTGAAAATTTGTATTCTCAAACGTCAGATCTTACGCCATCGTCGGACGATGAACTAACTAGGTTCAAAATGACGCTAGTGGACAGCTGCCAGCAATACAAGAATAATAAACATTCAGTAAATAGTCTTTTATCTAAACAACATAGAGAAGCTCTAAGAGAACTTAGAAGCAACGAAAGTTTAATCATTAGCAAGCCGGATAAAGGTGATGGTATAGTTTTACTGGACAAAAGCGATTATGTTGAGAAAATGGAAGGTATTTTGAGTGATCAAACTAAATTCCAATCGCTTGGTGTTTCCAAAGACCTCAATGTAAGAGCTGAGAAACAAATGACTGACTCCTCAAAAAACTGAACCAAATACGAGTATTATCATCAACCAAGTATGAGTCCATGAAACCTACGAGTACCAATACTCCACGTCTTTACGGTCTACCAAAAGTGCACAAACCAGGTCTTCCTCTTCGCCCTGTATTAGATATGTATAACTCCCCATTTCACGGAACAGCGAAGTGGTTAGTTAAGATCCTGGGTCCTTTGCACAGAGAAATTGTGCAACATAGAATTAGTGATGTTTTCGACTTTATTTCTAAGATATAATAATAATAATGTCTTCAAGTCTAATTGTCTAATTATTCTATAAATAGTCAGTGTTTGTAACTCCTAATCAGTTAAATCATTTCGGACTAATGTTACTTTTAATTCCTACCAACGAATTACTCCTTATGATAGTGGAAATGTATGTTCATATCTTTAATGTAATTCATATTTTTTAACGTTCAGGTTGCAACCAGTTGAGAAGAATCCTCGATTAAATAATACATAACATAACATAACATAAGCTTTATTCCAAATCAGTACTTGTGATACAGAAAGGAATTCTCAGCATTTTACTACAATATTGCATCCAGTTTTTTTTTACATTAACAATAAATAAAGTTCTACATAGTTTAAAGTTATCTCAACAACATATTAGTATGTCGGTAGCAAAGCCAAAATTAAAGTGTTTGAAGGTGTTTGAAAAGTAGATACTACTAGCATATTTACTGGCGTAAGCGATAGCAAAATGTTCGAGATGTACAGAGTGTGAAAGAACGAACAAGAATGTTTTAAGTAGAGTTTGCAAGGAAGAAAGAAACAAAACAGCACATAACAAAAATAAATACAGAATGAAAGAGCGAGAAAACGTTGTACCTACAAATGATGTGAGTTGGAAAGACAAGATCCATTGGTTCTACTGACTATTTAATAAGTTAAAGGTTTCATGCCTGATGCATTCTTTATCGCACAGAACACGAGCTAAGTAGGGTATGGATGAGTTTTTGTACTTACTAGTGCGGGCATATAGTTTCCTATATAGGCTTCTTGTTTTCCCTGAAGAGATACATGGGGACAGTTGTGAATGTAGAGGGTGTTGTGAGTCAGATAAAATGGATTTCGCCCATTTTTCACATGAGTCCATATGCCTGTCCACCAGAATATTAAAATATATTAATATTAATAATATTAATATTAATAAAAGATGAGCTCATATTATCTTCTGGTACAATTGTTGTTCTTGTTTTGTTCAAGTTTATTAATGGAAAGAATTGCATGAAGGTTTTATAATAATAATTATTATCACTATCATTATTTATTTTATTTTTACATTTCCCAACATACTTTATGACTAATTTATCAGGCTAATTATTAAGTTTCAAGGCTTCTCTTATATGTCTCACTTCCTCTCTTAGATTTTCCTTGGTACTACTAAGTTTTCGTGCTCTATCACTTAAACATTTCGACAATCCTGTTTTTACTGATATAGGATGGATGTCCAAATATCTGTTTGAATCTGTGAATTTCCTGCAAACTCTAGCGTTTAACTTTCCATCTTCTTTACTTTTACACTGCAATCTAACATTGACAGTTCCTCTTCCTGACTTTCCAATTCATAAATGAATTGATGAATTACGTCCACCTTTGAGTTAATGTGTCCGAAAAATCTATCTATCTATCTATTTATATAACAGCTGAAACCTCTCGTTAAAAATTCTAAACGCCTTTCCTAAACAGCTACTATGACAAAAAATAAATAAATAAAAATTGACCCCATTGTCCCATTGAATTAGTTCTATTCATTGCATTGAGGTAACAATGGGGTTGAGTTTTTTATCTCACTGCGAGCCAAATTATTGACCGACACATGTGTCCTTATAATTTCATTGGATTATGGTGCCTCTCTTTCTGTGTGTGTCTGTCTGTCTATCTATGTATCTATTTACTAACCCATATCTATCTATCTACCTACCTACCTACCTACCTATCGATTAAACCAGCCAGTGTTAGATAGAACCATAGAAGGAGGACACGCTTAAATGATATTTAGATGGTGTGTCTGTGTGTCTAGTGAACCAACAGACTAACCAACTAGCTAGCTAGCTAGCTAGCCAGCCAGCCAGCTATTGTATGCATGCATATATATTATCGATTATTTATAGGTATAGATTGAAGAGAGACAATGAGAGTGACAAAGAGAGAGATAGAGGTAAGAGGAACCACATACCATCCAACAATTTGAAGTTGGTTAACCTGACCGACCCAAAAAATACACATTTATATATATATAAATGGACCTCACCAACATTGTAGTGTTGTCTACGCTTTCAGTGTGTGTACGCCCTTATAATTCTCTATATCCTAGACGAAAATACTATCTCCACAACGGTGAGTGTATACCGCTTAGTCGTTGCTTAGATATAGTTAGATTGGTTCATTTAAAAAACTAACAAAAAAGATAGAATAACAAAATATATATGTACTGAAATGAACCAATGAAAATTGATTAGATTGTGACCTCCACATTATGTGGTGGTCTATCTAACCTAACGCCTATTTCTCATTCTTCTGCTTAACTAACCAACTGACATACTACGAGGGGTAGAATGACTGACTGACTAGCTGTATGAATGAATGTGTCTTTTGGACCCCTCAATAATTAGGGCGTGAACAAAACGTCCATTGTTATATATATATGTATATATGTTACCAATCATATTTAAGAAAAGTTCTACCCTATTTACCCGGCGTGGGTGACAAACATTTCCAATCGCCTAGTGGTGAATATTTTACAAAGAAGAAGTTTGGCTCCCAAGTGGGATAGATAGATTATTCAATAACTTCTGCTAAACTGTCTCCACTCTCGCTTCATAGAGAAAAACAACCCATATTGGATTTATATTATACATAGATTGCCTTTAAACCCCACTAACTGCCACATTTCGGATATATATACATACATATATACTCTCCTACGATAAATACCAATATACTCTTCTTTACAATTTGGAATTATTCATTTTCCTCGCCATTTATTATTATTGATTTTTTGGTTGCTGTTTAAAAATTACTTCGACGATAACAACATGTTACATCGACCTAGTCTTATGCCAGCGTCAATGCGATCGCCTAAAACTCTTCTACCTACACAGAATTCATCCAAGTTGATAAAGACTTTAGAGAGTCCAATACTGAATCGTCTTTTCGATACTCCAGCTATGACAATTGTCGGTCATATTGGTAGTGACAATATTGATGATGATGATGAGATTGTGATTGTTGAACCTACAGATCCTGATGAAGATCGTTTGAAACAAAAAGAACAAGAACAGCAACAACTGCAACTAAAGGAGCTGGAGCAGGAGGGGGAGGTGGAAGGACCCCGACAACAACAACAACAGCAACAAGATCAAGAAACACCAATGACCGACAAACATGTCGATGAAGAGATGGAGGGGTATACTTCTGACGATGTAGAAATGACTACTATCCAACCTTCACCTGTTCTTGTTTCTATTCCACCTCCTTCTACAATATCCACAAATTCCACCTCCCTTCTCATTAATAAAGTTAACCATCCGCCTCCATTGAATGAAACATCTGTCACTATGACTACCGAGACATCTTGTAAACAACCGATTAATATCCTTCCACTGAATGAAACTCTACAAGCTTTACTGACAAGTACACCACGTCCTAGTGGAACACCACTACAAAGTGTATCCTTCCAACCAATATTACCATTAACAGGTAAAACTACAAATTCATGCACAACACTAGTACAAACTCCATGTATTGTCTCTAATACTGGTGTAACAACGACTTCTTTACCCACACTATGGTTACATTCACCTATCACGAATCATGCAACAATAACAACAACAGCAACAACAACGTCGTCGTCGTCGTCTTCGGTACTGCCAACAGCACCAGCAGCAACAACAACAACAACACCGACGAATATTATTCTCCCACCGAGTGTTGCCAGTCTTACAGAATTCACAAATAGTTTAGTACAAAATGGTACTGCTTTAAATCCGTTGATTGCTGCTGTTCTGGTTAATTGTGCAACAGTGAATATGATAAGTCAACTCGCTGGGACTTTATGTACACCGCCTATTGTACTGAATACATCTGACAGTAATAACAATAATGGGAATACTGCGACAACTGTTAATGGTAACAGTATAACAATGCCAACCGCTTCAATATTACCCAATCTCTTGTCTGCTATCCCACTGTCTGCTTATCTACCTGGTTTAACGTTGAATACACCAGCGAGTAATCTAATCGGAGGTACAACTGGTCATCATATTGTTTCTGGTAATAATATAGGTGGTAATATTATTGTTACCCCATCGAATGTTGACATTAATAATAGTAATAATAATACTAATTCAGTGCCGATATCTTCACCATCCTCAGCAACATCAAATCAAGGCGACTATCTACATTTATCCGATTGTAAAACATCTTCAAATCAACGATCTAATGGACGTGTAAAACGTTTTAAATGCCCATTGGCTAATTGTGAAATGTCTTTTTATAGTCGATTCAATCAAATGGAACATATACGTACGCATACAGGTGAAAAACCATTCAGTTGTCCTGAACCTCAATGCAATGCAGCATTTAAACGACGGCGGGATCTACGGGATCATTGGAATATGCATTTATTGGATAATCCGCCGTCGGCGACATTGACTGAAGAGGAGTTTAATAAAGCATTGAAAGAAGCGGACGAGAAATATAATGCGATGTATAATTTTGAGACGCTGGACGCAGGGAATTCGCTACATATTGTAAAGCCTGTTGATCCACAGCAACAGGAACAACAACAACAAAAAACATCAATTGAAATTCCTGATCCTAGAGCTTTATTCACCAAGAAATGTGTCAATGAATTTGGTCGATATCATTGTACTTATCCAGGCTGTGATAAATCCTATGCTAGACGACATCGATTAAATCAGCACATCTCAACGCATACAGGTACTGGTCCGATACCATGTGATGAACCTAACTGTAATGTTCGATACTTTTCCGAGGAGGATTTAAAACGTCATAAATTGTCACATCTGTATGCAGCGGATAAAAATTCACGTCGTCGACATGTTTGTACCTATCCAGGTTGTGGTAAGGCGTATTCAAAGTTGAATAAGCTGAAAGAGCATCTTCGATCACACACCGGTGAAAGACCGTATGTATGTCGAGAGCCTGGTTGTGGCGCAGCATTTATCCGGTTGTATGGAGTTAAACGTCATGAATTAACGCATGTATTTGGTCGTAAACGTGGAGGGAAACGACTTACACAATTTCCAAATACAACATTAGAGAGTGTTATGAATGGCGAGAATGCTGGCGGTGTTGGTGGTGATGATGTCGTGGTAGTGACAGAGGAGCAGCAAACAGTTGTCACTTCAGAGAGTCCAGATGTAATAATCATCTCCCCTACCACAAACACAGTAACACCACCACCACCAACAACAACAACTGCCAGTCCGCCTTTATCAAATATTCTACCGAAACCAATTGAACAAATCGATACCAAGTTGGATACATCGTCAACAATGCCAAGAATTCGTCCACTTCCAGCTATTGCACCAAAATCAAATGTCACCCTACCAATACGTCCTATTTCACCGATCAGCGGAAATCCAGGCATGCGACGTCCTCATATCTGTCCATTTAAAGAATGCGGGAAAGCCTTTCCAAAGTTGAATAAACTGCGTGAACATATCTGTCGGCATACAGGTGAACGACCATTTGTCTGTGAAAAATGTAAAGCGTCTTTTGTACGCATGTATGATTTACGTCGTCATAGTAATATTCATCTGAGGGGAGGACATCCAAGAAGTTTGTCTAGATTTTTACCACCTACACAAGTGGTAACAAGTAATAAGCCTGTTGAATCTACTGTTTCAGAGAGTTCCACAGGGACTGATGTCACTTCTACGATAACAACTGCCAACACAACTGTATCACCTTTAGTGACTGTGACAGTCTGTGATAACGCTATCTCTTCTAATAATATTACTGTTGTCAGTATCGCTTCCCCCTCTATCAACAATCCTCAAGTTGACACTGTCCCAGCTCCCAGCACTACAACTACCACTGTTACAAAACTTGAAGAAACACCCGAGAGTGTTGTACAAGTCGTTGAACCTCTTGTAATTAAACCATCAGAGAGTGATGACGAGGTAATTGAATCTACTGATAACAATGTTTTATGCTGATGAGTAGCTTATTCTTGTTTTTACGATGACAACAACTCACTTTACAAATCATTAATTGGTTGATAAATAATATTATTACTACACCAGTATTATGTGTAATATCCTTTTGTATGTATTATGCGTCAGTGTCTGTGTGTATGTATGTGTGTGTGTGTGGTGGGTGTGCAGTGATATGCGATAACCATAGTAACTTCGAAGCGACTAGTTTTAATTGGTTCATTGTCAAAGCCATTATTTTATATTTGAGTGACTTTTCTCCGTAACCTACTTATTCATCACTTAGTTTTGGAAATACTTTAAAGACAACAGCAGAAGAAGACGAAGAAGCACTCGCTTCTGAACATTAATATATATCTTTCTTATTTTCAATGTATATCTAAAAATCAATACTCGTACTATACTTATATACATATAGTTTGTATAATATATTATTGATTATTATTATTTAATATTATGCCTTACTTCTACTTTCTTAAGAAACGTAGGAATGAATATCGATTTTTTTGTGTGTGTGTTACGCCTCCGCTTATTCATGCTTTATTTCATTAGGATTGGTCGATTTTTAATAGGCATTTTGTTTAACTAACCTTGAGTCTTTTATTTGGGAGTCACATGTCTTTATTGACCTTGTAGGGCAAAAGTTGACCTCTTATGATTAGGGGACAGGGTTATTAGACGACACAGAGAGTAGTATATGGACCCTCTACACATTCCCTTGTCAAGTCAGTTTATATGAAAAATAAAGGCCAGTTAATATGCTCAAAATGACAAAAAGGATATAAGAATAATTAACACTACGTTTAATTATCTGGTTAGATAAAGATTATCAAGGTAGGTGAAGAGTTTGAGAACAGCTATCACAGCGTATTTTAATGAACGCCCTCGACTTTTTTTTCTATAAATAACCTTAAAAGATGATTGATGGATGGTGACTGGCGGCAGTGGAATCCAGGATGCGTGTTTCGTACCAATTTGGGAGTCGTCAGCAACTGGATGTGCCTGCATTCCGCAGTGAATGATGATATTCCCACCGGGTCTGGGACCCGATGCCCATGGTTTGAAATACCAAAGCGTTATCCACTCGTGGCTCAAGTGGTCTAGTGGATAACGCTTTGGTGCTTAAAATCATGGGCACTGGGTTCGAGCCTCATTAGGAACATCACTCCCTGCGGAATGTAGGTACATGCGGTTGATGAGTCCCAAATAAGATGAAATGCACATCCTGGATTCCACTACTGGTCACCATCCACCAATTAACTTCTAATTAGATGCCCAGACATCGTCGAAGCATATGCACTGAGACTTAGCACTTCAGTCCAATCAATCAACGGGAAGATCTAAAATTGAATTAAAAGCTGTTTTGATATCAGTCTTGTAGTTCATATGGTTGAGGTGTTTATCTGTAGGCGCGATTGGTAGTCTACCGCTTTCGTCTATCGACTTTTCAAAGTTTATTTGGTTTTCTAACCATTTCGGCGTATGCCTTCTCACTTTCACATGAAAAGCGCGATTATTCCTCCTTACGTATGTGTCCACACATACAAATAAATTGGTAAATAGTGTAAATTGTGACATAATCACTTGTGCACTTTTGAAGTTTGTAGTGGAGCAGATTTTTGGCTTTATCAATAGCCATAAGCCGAGCCGCATATTAGGTTCTGCGGATGACCGAGTTTAGTCTCTGTCTCGAAATCCTCCTATTTACTTCTCCATTGTCGGTATGTCTAACCTAGAGACATAATAGATTGTAGGTTTCAAAACGAAATGTTTAAAGAATATCGGTTTTCAGCAAGAGTTTCTATCAGTACCCTGTCTTATTTGCTAGATTTCACTAACTTGCTCACTGAGCGTTTCAAAGTCATTAGTGTGCGGTCGCACTCCATCGGCACTTACTGGTATATAAAGAATAACTAGGTTTGGCCCTGATTTGTTTGGTCCGTTAGTCGGTCACTAACAGCAAGCATCAAATCCATTTTTAAGAGTTAGTTTGTTTGATTTATATCAATCAAGTCTGGTCATGGATTGACGGGCGCCACTTCAAAAAAAAGCGATATACTATATATAATCGTCCGTTTAAGCATCTGGATGGCGTCGTTTGTAACTTCAATGGAATTACAGCGTTGATAATTGGTCGAATGAATAGGCGTGAATGTAATCTGCAGTATAGAAAATATAAAAATCAATGAATCTTATTTTAGCCAATCAAAATGAAAAGATACTGATCGATTGGCATTATTTTTAAAATTGCATTCGATTATTCTAAACCAGACAGCATCATGTGCGTTTTCGTATATAACGCTGCATGCTATACGTTTTCTTCAATTGTCAGTACCGTAGCGATTCTCTTAAAGTCACTGTTGTCACTGAAAATTGATTAGATAAGTGTTGGAAACAGTACAGCGTTGAAACAGCCATTCCCTCTTAATTTGAAAGCAACTTAGCGACTCTGAACTATAGCAGCCCGAAATGAAACTACCTAGTCAACGAATTAATGACCTTGAGCAACCAATCAGATGAGTCCGTAGTAAGTAGGCGGAATTATCGATGCTGTACGCGGATTACATCACACAATCCATCCAAATCTGGTATTTATGTATTGCTTAGACAACAGGCTAGTTTATTGGAAAGGAGAAAAGGTGTAGCCAGCCAATCCGTCATTCCTGGGCTATATTCACAACTTGATCAATCATACAGACGATTTCGTCAGTTCTTTCGATAGAAATCACACAAATTTAGATAAGACAGAGAAGATTTGTAGCTCAGGTGGAGGATTTTGACGTAGTTGTGTTCTCTGAGCTGGCTGGATGGTTTGTTTGCGAAGCTTTCATTACCCTTACTATTATTATTATTTCCTTTAGTTTCTAGAGGAGCATAGGGATTCAGCCGCGCGTCTCCATTGCCTTCGGTTCTCTGCTAGAGTTTTCACCTGACTCCAAGTCTGCCCACATGCTTTAATCTCCTCTTCACATGACCTTCTCCAAGTCACCCTCGCACTGACGACCAACTCGCCGCTTCCCTTTCGGATTCCACTCGAGCGATGATTTGTCTAGTGATGTCACTCGATGATTTGTTTCCTCAGAGTATGGCCAGCCAATCCATCTCCATTTCTTCCCGCCTATTTGTTTCACAATCGGTTCCTGCTGGGTTGGTTCGCTCATTGCCGGAGATCCCTGTTGCTGATTTTTTCTGGCTGGCCATCTGATCTTGAGTGGTATTGAGCGAAGACAACTGTTAATGAAGGTGTGAAGTTTGTTTGAGATGCTCTTTATGACGCACTGGCCAAGTCTCTGATCCGTATAGTAAGTAGCACTGACTGACTTCACATTGGAGTTGAAAATCCGGATGTTATTTTTGATGATGAGTGCTGCTGTTGACGTCCACACAGACTTAAGAGTAATGAAAGCTTGTCTTGCTTTTCCGATTCTGGCTTTGATATCCTCGTCAGTTCCGTTCGCCTGTAGTTGAAACGATGCTTCCCAGGTAGGTAAAGGAGGTTGTTTCCTTCAGGTTCCTCCCATTTATGCTGGCTGATTGTTGTCTGTTGTTGTTGTTGCTGTTTGTTGGTGTTGGCCAGGAATCTTCATCACCTCTGTTTTCTCTATGTTCACCTGAAGGAAGTCCTATCTTTGATGCATCTTCTACCGCTAGCTTGTTGCTTTTCACTTGCATATCTTCCAGTTTGTGGGAAATCAGACATATATCATCGGCGAAGTCCAGATCCTCGATGTTCTCCTTTTGTGTGAGTCCATTTTATGTCTGTTTCCTCGTTGCTCGCCGTTGTCTGTTTCATTATCCAATGTACTGTAATCAGGAAGATCATTGGCGATAGTAGACAGCCTCGCCTCACTCCCGTCCTCACTTCGAAGGCTTCTGTAAGTTTCCCGTTACTTGGCATGCAGCATTGTCGTACAACTGTTTGATGAGATGTATACTTGTCGGCGTGCCCCGTAGTAGCGAAGTTGTTGCCAAATAACCTCTCGGTCGACGGTGTCGAAGGCCTTTTCAAAGTCGATGAAGTTGAGAGGTGGAGAGGTGACTGCCATTCCAAGCTTTGTTCAATGATGATCCGTAGTGTGGCGATTTGATCAATATACGATTTGTTTCTCCTGAATCTGGCCTGTTCCGGACGAAGTTTTTCATCCAGCTTGGCTTGTTTGATTCTCTCCAGGATGATGCGACTTAGTATCTTGCTTGGAATGGACAGAAGCATAATTCCACGCCAGTTTTTGCATTGACTTAAGTCTCCTTTCTTTGGTAGTTTGAATAAGTATCCTTTCTTCCAATCCTCGGGTACTTTGCCCTCTTTCCACACCTTCTCCAGTAGTGGCGTCATCAACTCCGCTGTTGTCTCTGGGTCTGTTTTCAAAGCCTCTGCTGGGATTCCATCTGGTCCTGGTGCTTTCCCAGCTTTTAGCATCTTGATTGCATTCAGGACTTCTGATTTCGTCGGGGGTCGATGTTCACTGGTAGTTCTGCTTCCGTTGTTGGTATTGTTGGGCGCGTTGTAGGTGGCGGACGATTTAGAAGTCTTTTGAAGTGTTCAGCCCAGTGTTTTCTTTGCTCCACTTCTTTGGTGATTGACTTTCCATTGTCATCCTTGACTGGCTTAATCTGTGTCGAACTTTTTCCCGATAGGTGCCTAGTTGTTTGGTAGAGTGTGGCGAGGTCTCCTTTGCCTGCAGCTTGTTCTGCTTCGTTTGCCATGGTTTCATAATATTTTCTTTTGTCTTCCCTGGCACTCTTCTTCACTCTTTTGTTCAGTGTATTGTAGCTTGCATTCAGCTCCTGTTTTTGTTGCTCGTCAGTGCACTGGATAATCTTTTGTTTCACTGTCCTTCTCTCTTCTATTAGTTTCCAAGTGTCCATAGTGAGCCACTGTTTGTCCTGTCTCTTCTTTCTGCCTAGAACTTCCATGCAGGTTTGACTCCACACCGTTTTCAAGTTGTTCCAGTGCTTTTCGACGCCGACCTCTTCGCTAGTGTTGATTTGTGTCTCGGCTT